AGAGGGTTTCAAATCCCGCACATACAATGGGGATCCATTTCAGGAGAGGAACATTGAACTTAGAGACCCTTCGCCCTACAAGGAGCCATTATCTGTGTTATAATGTAAGGGAATCCAACATGCCCTTTGCTCTGGAGGGAGACATCATCTCTGTCTCTCAAGGCTTTTTGCTGTACAAACATCCCTGAAAAGATAACATCCTTGGAAAGGGAGCCCGTCTTTCTTGTATACACAGAAACACAATACACTCACAGAGAACTGTCTCAAGCAGTGACCTGTTAACAGAATCAGGAAATCAATTTGGAGGGTTTTAAAACATACAAGGGACATTCACTGTAGTAAGAGTAAGCATTTTAAATATTCAATGAAGCTTTTGTTTGCTATTTATACAAATTAAGCTTAAAAAAATCATTTTCATTGGCAAAAAGTTTGGGAAACATTGGCTATGGTATAAAGACTATATTGAGTTCTTACTTTTGAGATGCCAACTTGACTTGCATTTTATCCAAATCTATGTAATAGCAATATGTATTATGTTGGGGGCTCTCCTGCATTGTAAGTCATGAGCATAATTCCATAAAGCATATATTTTAATCTTATCTTTTAAAAGCTAAATTGAATTTTAAAAAGATAATTTTACCTCAGGTTTCAGGTAGTGAACAAAATATGTAACCCAAATTCTTATCAACCAGAAATTTTTTTTTAAATGTGGGAAAATTGACCTCACTGACTGAATTACAGCTTTGCCAAGCACAGAATTTAATGAAGAGCATGCACAAAAATTAATAAATTGACATCTTAATAGCTCCAAAGCAAATGCATATTCATTTTATACATACACACAATTTCATGAAAATAGTTTTTAATAAAGTTTTTAAATAGTTTTAAAGTTTTTAAAAGCCCAGTTTCATAAATATTTACTGAGTTATTTCTATATGCAAAGGATCTGAGTTAGATCAAAGGATATAACAATATGTAAAATACTTATCTGGCTTCATGTGCATGTGGATTAGAGTGATTAATTTCAAAGGGTTGAAAATATATCTGGTTTTCTTTTGTATATACCTACAACACTATCTTTATTTAATAAGAATTAATTGCTAGTATTGCTAAGATCAGGGTCATAATAGAATGCTGTAATGGCAACACAATTATTTTACATTAATTGAAAAAGTTACCTGTTTAAATTTATTGTATTTCTAAATCCTGTAGGAAAACAATTTTAACAATGGATGTAGATTGTTTTAGAAACAGACTGTTCACATCTTAACACATGAAAGTCACTGTTTCAGAATTAGATGGTAATATATGCCAAAGAGAGAACTTCAATGGCAGAACCAAATACTATATCACTGCATCTATTAAAAAACAGAATCAGTATTTCAGTAAGATAAAATCACTTAAAGGAATAAGATACAAATAGTATTCTTCTTGGAAGTTCTATAGTTTAAGCATGAAAAAAATGCCATCAATTTATTCTTTTGCTTTCTTTTTCCAAAACATATTAGAACCACCTTTAATGAGGGTTCGATTAGCCTCAACCTTTCACTGACAACCTTTCATTGTCTTCCTACAATGTAATGTTTAAAGGAAAACAAAAAATACAATGCATCTGACAGAAGTTTTTTTTTTCTTTTTATGGTCCCAGGGATCGAACCCAGGGGCACTTTACCACTGAGCTACATCACGAACCCTTTTTATTTATTTATTTTTTATTTCGAGATGTGGACTTGCTAAGTTGCTTAGGGCCTTGCTAAGTTGCTAAGGCTGGCTTTGGACTTGTGATTCTCCTGCCTCAACCTCCCAAGCTGCTGGAATTACAGGTGTGAGCCACCAGGCCTGGCCCAGAAGTTAATTTTAAAAAAGTTTTTTCCAGGGTAAATTTTGGAGTCAGAAGTGATTTAGACAAACCAAAATGCCCTTTAAGATGCTAATAATAGTCTATAAATAGGTATTTTTTAAATTTTACATATAATGGAAACTCTAAGGAAAGGTGACATTTATAGGAAAGGCAGCAATATATAGACATTTAGAAGAGGTCCTTTGATGTAATCAAGACTGGGGCCAGTCAATTGAGATAACTCAAAATGGGAAACTACAGAAAAAACTAGAGATCTTAAACATTTGAACTTTAAAGATGTCAATATATATTCCTGTCTACATTTTATATAAGGCATTGCCTAATCTTGGAGTATAAACACTAATTGCAGTTTCAAGTTGTCTTTTTTGTATCAAGCATAAGTATGTAATGCGTCCTTTAAGATGACCCATTTTGCATTCTTTAAAGTGAATTGAAAGGTTGAAGATTCTCAAGAAACAATGCAATTTCAGCATCTGTTACAATTTTTATGATTCCTTTCCTCCCAATCAACCACACTTTTTGCTCCAATTCCTTCAGCAAGTTATTTGAAGCTTTCAGCTTCATATTTATTTTGAATATTTTATTATGCTCCATGTGTTATTTAATATGCATTTATAATAATAACCCCATGGCAAATGGGATTGGAAATACACAAAACTGGTTCTTGAGAGTCATATAAAGCTCAGTTTGTAGGAGTGCTCCAGTAGTAGGGACATTACTAGATGTGAGACCAGAGACTCTCTGAATACCAGTGAGTGGCTTTATAAAAATGTGAAGAGCATGGGTCCGGCAAGTCAGGTAAGCAGAAGTACATTAGAGAAGTTTCTATTAAATGTCAATTCTTCTTGCTACTAGGATTCATATACAGAAAATATTTGGTAATATTCATCTTCCTCAACACACAAGAAAAAATTTCTTTAAAATAAAAACAGTTTGTCTCAAGATCAAAAACATATTAATTTAATTTTTCACACTTCTCATTCTAAAAGAGTATATGTTGTCCAATAAAATTCCTGTGAAGATTTTTTTTTTAAGTTACTGGGGATTAGACCAGGAAGTTGGAGTATTACCCTGAGTTATAGCCTCAACCCTTTTATTTTTTTTGAGATAGGGTCTTGATAAGTTGCCCAGGCTGATCTCAAACTTATGATCCTCCTGCCTCAGTCTCCTATGTAGCAGGGATTACAGACCTATGCTATTGTATCCAGCTCCTATGAGGATTATAAAACAGTATCTGGGCTTGGGTTGTAGCTCACTGGTGGAATCTTGCCTAGCATGTTCAAGGCTGAAAGCCCTCAGTTTGATCTCTAGCCCCACAAAAAAATGAATAAATAAAAATCTAAATGTAATTAGTTAAATACTTTATTCTTGATATAGTTTCTCTTAATAATTAAATGTTATATCCCCAATATTTATTGCTTATTATCAATTATCACCAGAGAACTACAGTACCTCTTAGAGCTAAGATCTTTAAAAGCACTTTTTTTAAAAAAAATATATGCTTTAGCACTTTTTCTCTCAAGTGTTCGACCACTATCCTGCAGCAGAAAATGTGCCCAAACTTGTATAATCTCCCTCAGTGGTCTGAGGGAGATTATGATATTAAGCATAATGCTGCAGTGAATGTTGCCTTAAGTTCTTTTCCAATATCTTTGGAAAACATTGTTTAGACAATCCTTGGGCAGATTTCCCAGTGATACTTTTAGTACTCCCATGACCACTACTCAACTCACTTGTTTTGTTGATCTCGTAGTGTAGTTTTGAGGTGGTTCTGCTGAACTCAATCATTTATATCTCAACTTTGATCTTTATCTTCATCCCTGGGATGGGTATCCATAATTACTCTGTGATCTTTACTTTCAGATTTCTTTGGAAAGCAATTTTGTTTAATTGTGCGGTGGGTCCCTTTCATTGATTCATATTTGTACTTTGTGGTGTGCTCGCTTTTAAATTAGTTACAGATAGATGGCAGGAAAATCAAGCAATTACTAATCAGTGTCTATTGTATCTGTATAACCATATGCAAACTCTAGAGAAGCCCTGACCTCTAAGGAAGCAGTACAGGTCACGTTCTCCAATACTTGCTTAACAATGGATGTGTCAGAAGGTCGTACACTAGCAGTTTTTAAAGTGTTTAATATTAAAACCAATGCCTTTTACTATGAACAGTAAAATGGGCTGCATTTTAAGTTGATTTAATAAAAATATTCTATCATTTAAGAGGGATACTGTACATTTAATATGCACATTAAAGATTAAATATAAACTTACTAATATTTATTTTAATACTAAAATTTAATAAGTATCCACTATTTTTATTGCTAAGAATAATAGCTTGGTAGAGGCAGTTATTTCTGTTCAATTCGTCTCTATAGTACACCTGGAGGATCTTCATTGACTCAAAGATTATGTATCCTAGATCCACTGACATCTTCTAACAACCTTTAAATCAAGTGCACCTTGTCAATCAACTGCTCCCTGTTATCAACCTCTGGGAGGGCTGCAGAGCTAAAGTATACCTGGAAGCCAGAGAAACCTCTTGTGTATTCCTTCATTCTGAAAGCCCCATATCAAGGTATATTTTTCAGCTTCTTAAATAATGATTTATTCTGGCTGGTGATGGCAAAGGAAAACTCTACACATTACATACAGAACATTCAGATCACAAGGAGGCCTGCAGAATAAAGGGCCAAGTAAAATTCCTCCCCCCACAGCCCGCCCAGTCCCTGGAAGATCCTTGCAGATTCTATTTCAAGCTACAGACTGTGTCCACACACGCACCGGCCAAAAAGGCTCACAAAGGTCTGTTTTGAAATGGCTTGTCGTTTTTTCCTCCCTTCCTCAAAAACCCGGCAGCGATGGGAAGATTACATGTCAGTGTGGCTTTACTGCGGCCATAGTTAGTGGCACAAAGAGAGATTTCACTTAAATATCCTTTCGGTTCTCAGCACCCTTTCCTGCATAGAAAGCAGCTTTCCGCCTCCTGGAGTTTTTCGAAAACCCAAACACCACCAGAGCCATAAAGGAGGCCCATTCTAGAGCCTTTTGGCGGGAGAGCCGACCCCCTGCCTGGAGGGAGGGGCCTTCCTCGCCCCGCCCCTCGCCCCCGCCCCTCCTCCCGCCTCCCGCGTAACCCGGATACACACCCACGCTCCCCTTTCACCTATCGGCGGCTGGCGAACGTGGAAGTCCGACCTGTGGGCCGGTAGAGGTTCCGGGAAAGTGGGGCGCGTGGGGCGGACACCGTGATCTTCACGGCGCGGCTCAGCCTTTCAGGGAAGGGAGCGATGGGGCGCGCGGGCGCCGGGGAGCGGGCGCCGGTGTAGCCCGAGCGGCCCCTGCCCCGGAGCACGGCGGCGGCGGGAGCGGGGAGGCCTGTAAAGGCCGCCGCCCCAAGCGCCCGGCCTCCCGCGCCATGGCCCCCATGGGCATCCGCTTGTCCCCGCTGGGGGTGGCAGTGTTCTGCCTGCTGGGGCTCGGCGTGCTCTACCACCTCTATTCCGGCTTCCTGGCCGGCCGCTTCAGCCTCTTTGGCCTCGGTGGCGAGCTGGGCGGCGGCGCGGCGGGGCCCGCAGCCGTGGCCGATGCGGGCACGGTGGACTTGCGCGAGATGCTGGCAGTGTCCGTGCTGGCGGCAGTCCGCGGCGGCGACGAGGTGAGGCGCGTCCGTGAGAGCAACGTCCTCCATGAGAAGTCCAAGGGGAAGACACGCGAGGGAGCAGAGGACAAGATGACCAGCGGCGACGTGCTCTCCAACCGCAAGATGTTCTACTTGCTCAAGACTGCCTTCCCCAGCGTGCAGGTCCGTACCTGGAACGCTGGGCTCGGTGGGAGCCCATGGGCGGCAGGGCCACTCTGGCCAGGGAGCCTGGGATCCTGGAAACGTTTTGTAGCGTGTGGACTCCCGACAGTCCCAGGTCGTGGGAACCCCTGATTTCCATTTTGCAGATGCGAAAATTGAGAGGCAGAAGTTAAGGTGCACAAGGTCATGCAAACAGTTCTTGGAAGAGCTGGGTAAGGTTCCAGGTAGTTTAACTCAGAACCCATGCCCTCTGGTCCTTGCCTGGATTGTGTGGTGAAGTGTACCAGGGATCAGGAGACTTGGGTTCTGAGAAGGCTCTGATACAAAAAGGCTGAGAAGGTAAATAACACTGATGCTTCAGGCTCTTCTGTAACATAAAAGAATTGGACTAGAATCCCTCAAACCCCTACTCACACTTGATTTCATTATTGGAAGGGTCATGGCTGTAGATTACACGTTTTCTGGCCTGCAGGCGAGTAGCCAACTAAAATTCAAAAACTATAAAAGTCTGCTGCAGACCTGTTAGTTCCGCAGGGCATGAAGGGGCAGGGCATGGTCCTAAATGACGTGGCTTCCCCCCCCACCCCCCGCAGGATCTCTTAATGGCTAGTAGTTTAGAGGCCCTTCAAGGAAGTATTTGGAAATACGCTTCCAGGCAACTTCATTTTAGCTCTGTAGCTCTGTATCCTACCTGACACTTGATTAAAGATCTCTAATTATGCCAGAAAATTTAGAATTGAATAGCATTTACCTTGTCTTCAGGTAGGTTTCTGAAGGAGTTGACATTTTCTTCAGGAAATCCAGTCATTCTGGATTTGTTACTAATACTTTTGGAATTCATCAGTTCAGAGGAGCTGTTGAGTTGAATATACTGTAAAACTTTTTTGAATTTATTGTAGTTCCAGAAGAACTGAATGTAGTGTAGCAATATTTTTTAAATGTATGCCTCATTTAACAGTTGACTTTGATTACTAGGAAGAAAAAAATATTTCCAGTGAAGTTTGATTAGATAAAACAGTTGTAATTAAACCTAGGCTGTCTTGGAAGGTATCTAAACTTTTGCTGTTGTTCTTGAGATAGTTAAGAATATTGTCATTGTAGAGTTATGTATCTTATGTAACTCCTTCCACGGTGTCATATTTGTGCTTTGATTTTCTTTATCCTCTCTTTCTCCTATCTCTCTTCCTTTCTTTTTCTTTCATTTTTTCCCCACATGAAACATTGGATTTCATGTTATGAATTGCTGGATACCAGATATAAAAGAGACATTAGTAGAATTTTTTTTCAAATGTCTACTAAAACAAAATAATGCATTTTCCCACTTTTTCTTTTGCCCTATTCTGCTTTATCATCATATATAATACTTACTTTGTTTGGATTTAGATGTACGATGTGCTTGTGAAATATCTGTCTTCTCTAAAACATCTGTGCTTCTCTAAAACAGGATTTTCAGAGAAGTTGATATATGATAGTTATAACATTACTAACAATAACCACTTACTCAATGTATTCCAGGTGCCTAGATACTGACCACACAGGAGGACTTCATTTGGTTCTCACAGCAACTTTGAAAAATAAATTTTTTTATGCCCACTTTACAAGATGGGAAATTTGAGGCTTATGACACTCCATTCCACAGCCTACATGAACTGTCTTAATTCTTCATTGTAGCCAGACATCTAAGAGGCTACTTAAAACTTAGTGTGACTTCCTGAGGGGAAAAAAAAGTACAACTATAGAAGCTTTAAGGCGGTAATAGTAAAATATAAGCAAACACAGTTGAAAATTTTTTAAAAAGATAAGTTAAAAGTGTTTTAAATATTGAAAACATACATCTATATGTGTGTGTTTGGGTTTACTCATGTTATCACTGATTAACAAAAAATAGAATAGCTGCTAAAGGCAGTGAGTGGCATAAACACAAAAACTAAGCTTTTTGATTTGAAAATGTTAAAGTCTCTGCCTTAGAAAGTAACTTTTTGTCTTTTTGTGACTATTTGAATGTTTGCCTGTACATCTTTAGGGTTCATGTTGTGTGTCGACTGGAGGAATAGAGGAGGTTGTGTTCATTTATACAGCGTCAAAGTAGGGATTGTGTCATGTTGAGCCATCTCCTTTTACCCCTGTTTTCTTAGTCTAGAGGCCAAATGTTCTATCCATGTAAAAAATAAACTCAGCACTGGCATTTTTTTTTCCACTCTTGTCTCTCCCCTCCCCCATTATCCCAAAGCAGTCTTAAATACCAACCAGTTTTAAATGACTGGTTGGTATTAAAGTCTCACCTCAAATTTTTTTGGTAAAAAACTTAGATCACATTCCTTTTCAGTTTACTTCCTGATGGAAAATGACCATGGAAAAGACACAAGTACTCTTTTTTTTTTTTTTTTTAAATCCTGGTGGATTAGGGAGGCATAGTGGTACATGCCTGTAATTCCAGCACCTTGGAACATTGAAGTAGAAGGATAGAAAGTTCAAAGCCAACCTAAGCAACTTAGCAAGACCCTATTTTTGTTGTTGTTTTTTAAGAATTAAAAAGACTGTCAATATGGCTCAGTGTTAAGTGTCCTTGGGTTGAGACCTGAACTTGCCTATGTAAGGATCCCTCCTCAGTAAAAGAATATCAGGAGTTATTCTAGAGTGCTCAACTTGGCATGTTTATCTTTCAAGGGACATTTGGCAATGTCTGGAGATACTTTGGTTTTTCACAACCAGGGTGGAATACTACTGGCATTAGATGAGTAGAGGGTAAATATCCAAAGGTGCTCAAGACAGTCCTGCATAACAAAGAATTATCTTGCCCAATTTATCAGTTGATGCCCAAGTTGACAGATCATATTCCACAGACATGTGCTGTCTCAGCAAACTCAAGTTTGGCCCAGGATTGCTAAATTTCCTTTTGTCTTCAGTCTTTCTCAAGTTGACCTATAGGATGGGAGTTAAACGGGTCTCTTTCAACAGAAATACTCCCTGAAAAAGTCAGAAGTGCTCAGAGAACACTTGCTTTGCTATCATGTCTAGCCACTAGAACAGGTGATCTTATCTAGTCATATAGCTTTTGGGGGCCATAGTTTCCTCTTCTGTAATATCAAAATAACTAGTAATTGATACAGATATAGGTACTATAGGCAAAGAAAACTAGTTCAAATTATCAAGCCCAATAGGTTTTAGTGCTACAAATTCAGTTAATCTGATGAGTTTGATGCATGTTAGGTAGATCATATTCTAGACTCAAAGGAGTTTAGACCACATCTTTAGTATTATATTACTAAAAGAAGACCTCCTATTCTTATGGCTTACAATATGCTATCCTGTGGGCCTTGGGTATTTGGAGGTGAATGAGCCTGGTTATAAGAGCCTGGTTAAATAGTATAGAGTGTCCGAGAGATGAAAAGCCCAGAGTTAAGCCAATGGAAAAGTTTTGCTACCTAAAATTTATTTAGCCTTTAGAAAATAGCAAGCCCTTAATTAAATATTTTAGTGTCATAATTAATTTATCTGCAGAACAACATAGGAAGTTAAGTAGTGTTGCATCCTTCTGTACCTAAAGATATTGGGGTTTGGAGAAGCTAAATAATTTGCCAAAGATTGCCCAGCTAGAAAATAATCTTGGGTTTACTGAGGTTAATAAAATAGTCTGAGAATCAGTTCAGGTCTTTCAGAGTCATGAGCATAAGCAGTATTGGGGGTGGTGGTAACAAAAGTGTACTCTTAACTGCAATGTTTTGAATGAATGGAAAGACTCAGATTAGATACTTGGAGAATAGTTTGGAGGGAAGTGAAAGGAGGACAGAGAGGTTTATTTTAGTCTTTTTATGGTAAGAGATGATATGTTTTGAATTGGGTTGTGGTTGTAGAGAAGGTAAATATAAAATGATGTGAAAGAATTTTTAAGGGTATATTAAAAATGACTCCTGTAGTTTTCACAATTGATGTTCTGTTGATGGTAAAAAGAGGAGCATATTATGAGTGCCATTTCAGATTGGTCTTAGAGGTTTAATTAGAGGTGCCTTTGATGTGCCAAGGGAGATGCTAAGGAGGCAGTTGCCTTTATGAGTCTGAAGATTGTCTTGGGGTCCTACTCTAGTCGTTGTACTCAGGGAAGGCCACTTTGAGCTGGTATCATTTGAACTGAGAGTATAGCAAGTGCAAAGAACGGACCATAAGAAGACTAGTAAGTCTGGAGTGTTCTAAATAGAGTGAAAGGAGAGAGATACTGTGTAGTGGTTGCTATAGTCAGATCATGTAGGAGTTTGTAGATGGTGGTAAGGAATTTGGATTTTATCTCTGCATTATGAGAACCATTAGAAAATTTTTAACTGGGAGTGGCATGATCTGATTTGGGAAGATAGCAAATTGCTTGGTTGAGAAGGGAAGCTCTATAATGGTAGTGATTTTGGTTTTTTCATTGTATTTTAATGCTCAGAACACTTTAAAATATATTAGTCATTAAATAGTTGTTGAATGAATGAATGATGAATGAGTACACTCACTATAGGAGGCAAGAATAATTGAAGAGTATAACAGAAATCCAAGGAAAAGATCCTAGTGGCTTAAACTAGCATTTTCTTGGTAGACATGATGACGCATTCTTAGAATTGGGAGGCAATATTTTCAGGACTAACTGCTCAAATGTGGAATGTGAAAGAGGATTAAGGAAGACTTCCATATTTTGACCTTAGCAACTGTTTATAAGGTCATTTATAATGATGGGTAGTGGATTTATTAAATTGGAGGCATGTAGTGGTACTGCGTGTTGTTAGAAGCAGTTATGCAAAAACAGATTGGGTAATTATGCTCACGAACTTGTTTTCTCGCTACAGTTGTTAATCCCTAACTTAATTCTCAATGAGATTACTTCAAATAAAGTTTGTTAATATATTAACTCATATTCAGTTTAGTATATATGGAGAAGCTGACTTAAATTCTAGATAGAAATCTTCCTCATGAATCATAAAGCTCAATAGATGCTAGTCAGACTTGCCATTTTTGTAAACTACAGTGGTCAAGACCTGTGACCTGCTCTAACTAGGAGTTTGTTTGTTTATTATAAGTTTATTCCTTTTCTTGTGATGTTATTGCTGCATTCATTCACCTAGCCTAACATCATTATTAAGACCATGGGGTCTGAAGCAAAATGCTTTACCAGTGCTACACTGTCTTAATTATTCCATCATAAAGTAAGTCTTGATGGCTAGTAGGGAAAGTCACAATACTGTGCTATTCTTTTGTTTTTCCCTCTCTTTAGAACATGACTTTTCCTGGCTTTTTTTTCTCTGCCAGGTAAATTTCAGATATGGCTTGTCCGATTTTGAAGAAGTTAAAATCCTATAGGGATTTTGTTTGGAGTTGCATTAAATCCATAGTTTACTGATGGGAGATTGACATCTTTACTGTTTTTTAAAAGTCTTTCTATTCATCAAAATGGGATTCCTCTTTATATACATACTTTATTTCTGTTATTAGTTTAAATGGCTTTCTTTTTTTGATTAAATATTTATTTCTAATATAGCTAAGGGCAGTTTATGGTATATGTCTTACACCTAGCAACTTTCTATATTCTGTTATTATTCCTATAGTTTATCTTCAAGTTCTTTTGTATTTTCTCAGTGCTCAGTCATAACGAAATTCATTATGGTTTTGTTTCTTCCTTTCTCTTATCCCCTTTATCTTAACTGTTATTTGGGACCCTCTGAACATTGTTAATAGAGGTTATGGTGGAAGGCAGCTGACTTGGTTGTGGTCTGCAACATCTTGAACCATCTGGCTTCCATTACTTTCTGACCTCATGTCCGTCCGGTGCCTTTCTCCTTGACTGACTCTGCCCTAACCATGCTTGCCTACTTGCTGTCCCGGAAACATGCCAGACATACTGCAGTCTTAGGGTCTTTGTATTTGTTATTCCTTGATCTGGAATGCACTTTTCCTAGATGTTTGCCAGGCTCCTTTTAGGTCTTCATTTAAATACTGCCTTTCCAATAAGGACTTTCCTAGCTACCTTGTATTTTTTTTTCCAAACAACTTTATTGCGACATAACTTACATATCATATAATTTGCCAATACAGTGTACAATCCATTAATTTTTAGTAGATTTGCCAAGTTGTGCAACTATCCTTATTAATCAGTTTTAGAACATTTTTACCATCCTAATGGTATACCTTTGCTCTTTTACTATTAATTCTTATTATCCAGGCAACTACTAATTTATTTCTATGTCTGCAGATGTGCCTATTCTGGACATTTTATATTAATGGAATCATATAGTATATGATCTTTTGCCTTCTTTCACAAAGCAGAGGACGTTCATCTGTGCTCTAGCATGAATCAGTACCTCGTTCCCATTCATCCTCTTAATAGCTGAATACCTTTTTTTTCTGAATATATCACAGTGTTTATCTATTAATCAGTTGATAAATATGATGCAGCTTCCAATTTTTGACATTTTTTGTGGGGGGTACCAGGGATTGAACCCAGGGATGCTTAACAACTGAACCACATCCCTAGCCCCTAGCCCCTCGCCCCCATTTTTTTTAAATTTAGAGACAGAGCCTCACTAAGTTGCTGAGGCTGGCTTTGAACTCAAAATCCTCCTGTCTCAGCTTCCCAAGCCACTGGGATTATAGGCATGTATTACCACACCAATTTTTGATTGTTATGAGTAATCCTAGACCCCTTCTACTGTCTAATAACATACCTCTTTTCTTTGCTTTATTTTTTCCTCCTTTTCACTACCTAGCATACTACATGTTATAGTACATGTTTTGCTTATGTGTCTTGTATATTTCCATTAGAATCTGAGTTTTATTAGGACAGAGATTCTTGTCCCATCATCAATTACTGTTTTATCTCTAAGTACTAGAACTCTGTCTGGCATACAGATGGCAATCAATAAACTTTTGCTGGATTAATAAATATAGAAGTGAATGGATGAGTTGAATGTTAACTGTTCTGTACTAAGAAATACTTTATGATTTAAGTGGCTTGATGTTTCTGGAATATTGCTATTTTTAATCTCTTCTGTGATAGTTTGGAAACTTTCGAAGTCTTCCAGAAATCACTGAGAGTTGTGGGGCTTTTATCCCATTGGTGACTTTTTATTCATGTATTTTCTATGCTAAAATCACTCTGTCAGTGTAACAAGGGATCTAGGTTGACATCATGGCAATATAAACATGATGACCTACTCTTTAAAAGGACCCAGCTTTCTGTCCTGCTCAGGATGGTAGTTCCTAATTAAAATCCATATTTGGGGGACATTTTTCTTGTGTGTATATATGATTTGATAGAAGAAAACTTCTGATTGAGCTAGTAATTCAAATAAGGCTAACAGTTTTTATTAACTTAATTCCTAAAATATAATTATTAGATTTGCTTTATTGATACAATTTTAATTTCCAAAAGTAAATGCAGTTCTAAACCATTTTTAAATAGTTTGTAAATGAGATTGTATTTAAATATGCATTAATAAGCTTACCATTTAAAGCAGTGCTTCTATATATAGTACAGGACACAGACATAATCTGGCAGTGCCTGGAAACAATTTTTGTTTTCAGAACTGAGGGATGGTGCTGCTAATATCTAGTGGATTCTGCTGGTGTTTAGCCAGAGATGCTATTAAACATCTTAAAATTCAAAAAATAGCCCCACAAAAAAGAATTATCCAGTCCAAGCTGTTAGTGGTACCAACATTGAGAAATCTCAGCTTTATAGAATCTAAAATGTATTCTTTTCTTAATAGAATACTTATATATAGTATTGCATATGTACAATGATTTATGAAAAATAGCTCCAAAGATATATATGTGCTTATATATACATATGTATACATATATGCGCACTCACACACAGCCTCACTCTACACCCTTACATATCTATATGGTAAGTCACATTTACTTTATGTTTTAACTTTGTTCCCTAATATATAAAAAGTTGAAAATCTTGACTTTACCTCTTTATCCTGTGTTGTACATTATTGATGTATAGCTTAAAGAAGACTGATGATTTTTGTGTCCCTTTTGATTGCCTATTTCAGCTTATTTAGGTTTTGTAATATACTAGTTTATTATGTGTTTCATAATTTCCAGGTTTCCTTTTCTTATAGGTTAAAGATATGTTTTAGATTATCACTTTTCTAGGACTTTATCTCTTAGCATTCACCATTCTCTATTTTTAAGGCATATTCTTTTTAACCTCTCTCTTTGCCTCTAACTATAGTTGCTTGTGTTCATTGTTTCAGAATATTATCTGTTTTCATATTTTGAACTACTGGTTTTTATAAATCATTAAGCTGTAAGTAGCTATTTGTGTGATGTTTAGTTTCATGTTTGTGTACATTTGAGTTTTTTATTTTGATTAACCTACAAGCTAAATTTTAATATTAGATTCTTGTGTTTCTTTAAATAATAATATTTTTCTCATTTTTTTAATTGTCAAATATTTTTGGTGCAGATAAATACTGAGGAACATGTGGATGCAAATGATAAGGAGGTTATCTTATGGGATCATAAGATTCCTGAGGATATTCTTAAGGAAATAACTACCCCAAAAGAGGTACCTGCAGAAAGTGTTACTGTCTGGATTGACCCACTTGATGCTACACAAGAATACACAGGTGATTTTAAAATTGACCTCAAACTTTAGATTGTCATTTTATATTATAGAATCAGAATCAAGGCAGGTGATGTATAATATGGTGTTAGATATTTTGCAAATCCAATAACTAACAATTAGATTTTAAGATAAGAAAACTAGGTTAATGTAGCATTTATGATACATTTGTACTGAATTTTTAACCTTTTTATTTTTATTTACCCCAAATGCCATATTGTACCCACTAGCTGACATCTCACTCAGAATTAGTGACTCACTAATTCTGAACATTTTAAACAGTAGCAGCAAAATAATTTCTACTGAACACCTGTTATTGAAAAAAATTATTTAGCCAGAATATAATAGTTACTTAAGATATTTGGAATTTAGGTTTTATTGCATATAAATCTGACCTTGTAATTAAAAATAGTTAATCCTAGGTACCCAGAAAGCAAGTAAAAAGCAAAACTGAAATATGTGATCCTCCCTTCCACCCAGTTTTCCTTTTTCTTACCTCATCCTAGCTCAGGTTTCATTGCTGTGGATCTTTTCTCAGGGCTTCTTACCTAGATATACTAATTTCTTCTTTTACTCTCTCTTCTTGGTATATATGTCAAAGTTAGTTATTTATCTTTTTGTCTTGGTAAATGGTAAGCTACCTGAATGTAGGGGTTTCTACTTTTTTACCTTTGTGTTCTAGTGCCTATGCAATAAACTTGAACCATAAGAGGCACTTAATAGATAACTCTTTGAAGAACAGGAAGAAGATGATAGATAGATATAAATAAATAAAATAACTGAAACTATAAAACAGTACTTTGCATGAGTACGTAATAGAAATTTGGAATATTGAGGAGTTTGTTTACAGATTTTTCTAAACTGAACTGACCTGATAATATAATAATGATAACAAACAGTGAGCACATCTCTTGCACAGGGACTGTTTTTAAATGCCTAACTTGACTTTTAAATTAATCCTAAAATTAAGTTATTTAACTTTTAATTTATTTAAGTATATTTTAACTTTTTAAAAACTTAATTTATGCTGAAGATGGGTAATTATCATCTGTATTATGCAAATAAAAAAACTAAATTTAAGTAATTTTTCCCATGACATGCAGCTCATAAAATCATGGATTGGGAGATTAACCTAGGTAATCTGCTTTTAGAACTAGAACTCTTAACTGCTCTCTATAGTTGGCCTTCATCCCTGAACTCTTTTTGCATGAGGGGGTTATTATCTTTGAAAGACATTTCATGAACATAAATTTTTGATGAAATAAAGTGTAATCTTGTATCCTGAATTTATGCACAGTATTAAGACAATTGGTTGTGTGTTTTTTCTCACAGAGGATCTTCGAAAGTATGTCACTACTATGGTGTGTGTGGCTGTAAATGGCAAACCTGTGCTAGGAGTTATACATAAGCCATTTTCGGAATATACAGGTATGAAATATGCAAGAGCTTTCAAGAGCTAATGTAATCAGACTATGTATAGTAATGACTATACCATTCACATCTCATCTGTATCTCAGTAATTATTGAAATCTGCCCCCTATCCTAACATACCCCTTCATTAGATACCATGGGGGTTTTATGGTTAGCACTGATAATATTTAAAAACCATGGTTTTCTAAACTATCTTTAGTGGATGGACACTGTTGACTGTAAATGAGAGATTCTTAGTGGGTTGAGGGATCCCATTGGACATAGACTTCCCAACAGCTGTGGTGTCCTCTCTGTTTCTCTATTACTTTTGCTAGTGGTGAATCAGGACTTTTACATTGTAGATTCTGAGGTATACTGTATAGTTGCCTTACCCAAATCTGTTGACATTGGGAGCTTGATATTGTGGTGGTTTAAGGGCAGTGCACCTCAGCATCCAGAATGAAGGAGTGTCACTCTGAGGTTATTAGGAGTTAGGCCAATCCTTGAAGAGTTCTGGACATTTTCATAACTCCTTCAGACCTTTGTTTCCCCCTACTTCTTGATTCATGCTTTTAGCTTCATACAGATGGCAGGTTAGATCAGTGATGATTGTGTCAGGGTATGGCAGGCCTTGACAGGGAGCTTGGCAGTCAGCTAGGATTGACTTATCTATAGCCTTGCCATTGCCAGTGGATGCATAGATGATATTTTGGTATCACTGGAGACATTCCATTGTACTTATCCAGAGAGGCTAACTCTAGTCTTCTAGGTAACAATAATGGTATAGACTGTGATTACAGTTGGAAGGGAAACACTTGGCATAAGCAGAATTACTAACAGCCTGAGGGGATTTGTCATTCTTTTAATTGGTAGAGCCCATCAAATACATAGGGCAAAGAATATGGCTGTTTGGTTCCACCCTTCTTTAAGATGACAGGTTCTTAGTGATGATGATGTCCACTTTACCAGTACTGAAAACAGTCTTAATGATCAGGTATAGTGGACTACATAATGTCCTCTCCAAATTTATGTCTACCCCTGTACTTGTTTCCTAGGGTTGCTACAATTAAAAACCACCAACTCTTGTTAAAACAACAGTAATGTTATCTCTCACTGTTATCTCAAAGTGTTGGTAAAGCCATTCTCTTCCTGATACCTATAAGGGGCAGTCTTTCCTTGTTTTTCTTTTAGCTACTGGTAGCTTACCAGTAGTGCTTTTGATGTTCCTTAATGTGTAAACACATCATGCCAAATTCTGCCTCCATTATCACCTGGCATTCTCCCTTTGTGTCTGTTCTTTACCTTTTCTTGTAAGGATACCAGTCATATTGGATTAAGGGCCTACCCTATACCTCATTGATCTCATCTTAACTAATTTTTGTCAGTATTGACCCTCTTTCTAAAAGATTATTCATTGCTGGGGTTCTGGCTTCTTCCTATCTCTTTGGAGGACACAGTTCCACCTATAACAACCTAAAAAGTTAAGTATCAAGATGAGATACTTAGGGTAGGATCTTAAACTAATGAGTGTCATTTCCTCCTAAGAAACAAAAAGGACACAGACAATATCTCGGATGACAGTGTGAAGGTGGAGACAGATTTCAGGGAAGCTTTGAACAAGCCAAGGCTTACCAGCAGCCAACAAAAGCTTAGAAAGAGTCATGGATTGGTTTCTCCCTTTGAGCCTCCAGAACTAACAATGCCAGCATCCTGATTTCAGACTTTGGGCCTTCAGAACTATGAGATGATAGATTTATTTTGCTGCAAGTCATTTAATTTGGGGTAATTTGTTAAGACAGCCCTAGAAAACTAATTCACTAAGTGTCCCATAGAGTAGTCATTTATTCCAGCGATTTCCAGTATGTCTTACTGTGTCACCACTGCACAAAAGGACTGCCAAATAGGGAGAAATAGGCAAATTTTTCATTAAAGTTATTTATTTGCTTCGTCAAATAATTATGGATCCCAAATTCTAGCTGCTCTGAAACAGGCTAAACATACTTGCATTTCAAAATCTTGTCTGCTTTATGCCATCTGACCTTCATCTCTTTCACAATTCAGATAGTTCTTTAAATTGACAGTTTAAGATTAGTTTAAGATTATCTAATTGCTTTATGTTTTTTTTTATAGATGAAAAAATGGGCTTTACTTTCACGCCTTTACTGAGTTAGTTAAGATAAGTTAAACTGTTAATTTAGGCTGTTATCATGTACACAAAAATATAGGAGCTTGAACAAATAGTTTATTTCTGTTCTCTGACAGCTGGTACATAAACAGTCCAGGGCTGCCATGGCAGCTCCCAGATAGCAGGCACCAGGCCTATCCCTCTTGCTGCTTTGCTCCCCTAACACTTGTTGTGCTTCTCAGCATGATTGAGGATGACTCACTACTTCATTGATATGCCATCAGAAGAGAGGGTGAAAATGGAGGTTATTTCTAACTGAGAGTTTTACCTATAGGTTTCATGCTTACTTCCCACATCCCACTCACAATGTTCATGTCCCATTGATCAAAAGCATAGTTACAGCCATTTGCAAAAAAGGGCTAAGAATTATTGTCTTTATTTTCTGTGGCCAGCCACACTAATATCTAGGGATTCCATCCCTCAAGGATAATGGGGAAAGTGGATCTGAGTACAACATAGTAATACTCGACACTCAGTCTAGTATATAAGAGAGGGACACAATTACTTAAATTAGTACTCACACTTACAGATGAGAAAATAAGACTTTAAAATTCAGTGTATTCCTCAAGGTCATCCAGCTAAATTATTGGCAAAGTCTTGCAAATAATTCTGTTACAGTGCTTTCATAATAACAACCTCATAATTCTTAAAATTTATGTAGTGTTTACTGATTTGTAGGATATTTAATGTTATTTCATTTAAACTTTTTGATGTTTGTGTGATAAGGAATAATTTTGTTTTATTAACTTTTTTATTATAGATGAGAAAATGGGCTTTAGTATCTCCTGTCATGAAAACCATGTAGTTCGAAGTGTTCTTGTAATAGCTAACCATTTCTTATTAATATCTTGTAATTATATTATATTTCCAGGTCTAGAGATATAGCTCAGTGATAAAGTACTTTCCCAACATGCATAAGGCACTGGGTTTGAATTCCCAGTACCACAAAAATAAAAAAATTAATATTTAGTATTTTTAGTTTATAAAGTTCTTACAGCCTTCTTTTAACTGGAAGAAATATAAAATGGGAATTATAGTAACTTTTTAAATTAATAAAAGCAATAGGCATTTAAAGATTAAGTACAGAACTTGAGTCTTTGAAACCTCCTCATTGTTTTGGCACCTGTCCCTCAGTTGAATTAGGATTGCATTTAGCTACACAGAAGTAAATCTAATAACAGTTGTGCAACAAGTGAGGGTGTTTCTATTTATCACCAAATAGGAAGGCTGAAAAAAATAGGGGTGGTTCACTAATGTCAAGGACCTGACTCTTCTCTTCACTTTTTTTGTTTGAAGGTGGCTTTTTATTTGCATGCACAGAAAGATGGGTCTCCCATTTACTGTGATAGTGTTTCTAAGCAAGAAAAAAGGGCAAAAGAGGAAAAAAATATCCCAAATATACTATGTATTTGAAGGCTTGTTCATTAACTCTGTGTTTCATAACATTGACTGAATGTCACATTGTACCATTAATTATAAATAGAACCTGCTACTCCAAAGAGAATTTTGAACCTTAATAAAGTAAACGAAGAGGAAATTTATAAGCAAATAGAGTCACATTCTTGGGCCTTGGTTTCCAGATCTACTTATACCAGGGGAATAGTTCAGAGTATTCCTGTAAGAAATAATACCCCTTATTAGGATCTTGCAATTATTTAGTATTTTTAGGACTGGGATTTTCATATTAGGGTTAATAAAATGTCCATTTTCAGAAATCTTTATTCTATAATAGTATGTATCCCCTTACAGTCTTACCCAGTTTAAAATAAAGAAGGCAGAAGTTTATCATAGTTAAAAGTTGATTCAAAAAGTGTCTCTGTAAGTTAGTAATGTAATGGGGCTGACTTACTCAGTGTGCTAGAACATGAAAGTGCTTGCCAGTTAGCAAACACTCTGAAAGAATCATAACACCCATAAGTATGTGTGTGTTGACCTTCCATTCCTGGATGGAACATTGCTTTGCCTAGGCCCTCCTTTTGGAATGTTATTTTCAGACCCAGAGTATTGGCAATACTTTACAACTTACACCAATTGTAAAATACTGTATGTTTACATAAATTCAGCTCTGTGTTATGTTATAAGTAGAGCTGATCAAAAATCTTATCAGACTTAATTATTAATTCCTTGAGTTTGGAATTCTTAGAAGAGAAATACTTGAATACTTAAATGAAGGTGTAAGTGTATTAGTGTAGTGGAAATTGTAGTTATGAAAAATAAGTTATCATAAGTTTGTGTAGAAAAGTATGAACAACTTTTTATTTCCTACCAGGTCTTTTAGCATAACCAAACAAATAAAATTAACATTCTGTAGCTTCAATTTTGCCTCCTTATCAGTAATTTACATTTACCTACTATCTTTTTGAAATGTGTCCATATAAGTACTACAGATGAATGCATTGAGTTTATGTAATTTGAAGTACATTTTTTCAAAATATTGATTTATTAATTCTTGTATAAAATTATTCTGATAGTATCTGCTGAGATGTGCTGTTTTATTTTCTTATACAATACTGACCTCTAGAGATACCTCATTGTAAGTTCACTTAGTAAAACTTTTCAAATATTTATAAAAAAGAATTCAGAGGATTTTTGAATTTTTTTCCCTTCCACAGTTTTTGCTTTTATTATGAATAATTTCAAATGTAAAATTAAAGTAAGTACTCATATACATCATCTAGATTCACCAGTTATAACACATGTATTTGCTGGGTTTGGGGTTTTTTTTTGGGGGGGGGGGTTGACTTGTGTTCTTTGAAGACAGTTACAAGAATTATAACATTTTACCCCTATATATTTCAGTTTGCATCTCTAAAAATTAAGGACATTTTTCTACTTTGTTATAATAAAATTAACAATTATTCTTTCATGATCTCCAGTATTCACATTTCACTAGTTGTTCCCTAAAGTGGATTTTATAGCTGCTTACTTCAAACCAAGATCTAGTCAAGTGACAAACACTACCTTTACTTATTGGGTTATTTAGTCCTCTTAATCTAGAGCAACCTTCAGGTCCTGTTACTGCAAAGACATTGACTTGTTGAGGAGACCAAATCATTTCTCCTATAGAATATCCTTTTAGATGTATCTCATTGTTCCTAAGGGTACATTGAACTTCTTTATTTTTACATTATCTTTTTCATATAAAGTGCACATTAGACCTGAAGCCTTCATTGGATTGGTTATACATTTTTGTCAAGAATATTGTGTTTTTGCTTCATGTACTTCTGTATTATATTATATGACATGTAGTGTACCTTTGTCTCAATATTAATGATGCTCAGATGGTTAAAGTGGTCATAACTAGAGCTCTTAATAATTTGAAGATCTATTAAGGGTGTTACCAAAGAGATTTTCTAATTCTGTTATTTTTTCTACACGTATTATTGAGAACTTTTTCCATTTCCTGAAATGTATTTTCTTCTAAAAAGGCAGGAAAAATGTTTAACTTTTCTCCTTTATTTATAGTTTTAAACTAAAGAATTTGGGTAGAAACCATCTTCATTTGGAGAAATATATTTTAGGGAAGAAAACACTTTCTGTTTTTTGAAAATAGCCTTTTTATCTCATGAATTTTCGTATAGTCAATATGATTCAAACAGCTTCAGTTATTATTTTTAAGCTGAGTGTGTTTTGTTTCTCACTTTGATTATTAGGGTACCATTTTTATATCCCTTTTTCTTCATATACTATTATATGATCTTTTTCTGTAGATATTATCTATAAATTTTTAGCTATAAGCAAAAATTAAACAGGCTTATTTGAGCATCTTGACTGCCACCCTATTTTAGTCATAGTCATTCATTTCTTTTCTTTTCTTTTTTTGTCTAGGTTTTACTGTTACCCAGGTCTCTCCTGCCTCTGATTCTTAAATAGCTGGGATTATAGGCTTGTGCCACCAATCCCCACTATCCCATCTTTCTTCCAGTTACTTTTAAACTCTGGGAAACTGTCAGCAATCAATTATGAGATGACATTTATGGACCTTTACTCTTTCGTCTTATAACCATCTTTGGTGTCCTCAGCCATAGCTAACATTTATCCAGTGACAGCCAAGAGTGCTTCTGCTAAGAATTTCTCAGTCATGCCTTGGTTGGCTGAATCTTGTACTCTTATAGATTACTTCAAAAGAGCTAGCTCAAGGGTATAATATTACTAAATATGTTTTAAGAACTTTCTCTATAGCCTGATACCTGAAAGACTCTACTATTTTTACAGTCTTTGGTTTGCCCTGTATACACTACCTACATAGTGTCTTAGGGCTGTCGTAGGAAATTACTACAAACGGGGTGGTCTGAAATGACAGAAACTTAATCTGTCCAAGTTCAGGAGGCCAGAAGTTTAATAACAAGAAATCAGCAGAATCATTCTCTTTTGGTAGAGTAGAGGGGAAATTCCTTGCTTTCCTCGTCCACCTTCAAGTGACTCCAGACTTCCTTGGCATGTCATATTAGATGGTTGTATAATTTTCCTCTACTTCATGGAAATTTTCAAGCCATCTGAAATATTTTAATCTGCATTTTCTATATTTTTCAGTGGACATTGCAGTTTCTTTCTCATTTATATTTGGGACAGGTACCTTGGTACTGATGGAAGAAAGGTGACAGGACAGGAATTTGGGTGATTTTTAGTACAGGAGCTTTCTTTTCTGATAACATGAAGAAGACTTCATAGGCACTCTTGAAATTGCTTTCAGACTTATTTTTTTCTTGCTTGATCTTGTTTCAGGAAGACCTTTCTTCAACCCCTTCCCTCCTTAGCTTTAGCTGCCATCTTCCAAATCCCAAAAGATACCTTATGTCATCATTTTCTCCTTCCTCCCAGGGCATTCTCAGGACTACATGCCTAGTCCTGTGTCTTCTCCAAGCCTTTTCTTAGTGCTTTATTGTTTCAGGCCTGCTTTCATTAATTCCCATTTCAAATGGGAACTTTTCTTTCTGAGAAGGACTTCTGGCACATATTAACCTGAGTTCTACCACCACTGAAAATTCTCCAGCCTCTTAACACCTCTGTGAAGCTCCTATGCATCCCCACATTCCAGGGCTTATTCTGTTGATCATTGGTCTTTATTTCCCAGCTTTCTCATACATGCATGTTTGTAGTTTTCCTCTGTTTCCTTAACTTTGTACTTGTAGATTATGGGTGTATTTGCTGTCCTTGTGGCTGTGTATGTTTCTTTGAAGGAGGTGTGAGAAGAGTCCAGGAGACTGCTTATCATCATTGTGAAACTCAGAAATGTAGATTCCGCTAGTTATGTTTTTTATTCTTATTTTTTCTGTAGCTAGGAATAAGCTGGTAATGCACCTATTTACATTACTAGCCATAATGGACTATATTTTGTCCCATAGGGAGTGAATGCTAAAACAGCAATCTACTTGGATAATTATCAGTAAGTTTGTTATCATGCATAGTTTGATACTGAAAAAAAAAAACTTCCAAACCAATAAAAACATCTCAAGCAATCAAACATCTCAAGCAATCTCTGGGGCCCCCTTTCCCTTTTAAAATTTTGTTCTTTTTTGAAATCTAAATCTTTTTTTTTTTTTTTTTTTCGTACTAGGGATTGAACCCATTGGTGCTCAACCACTGGGCCACATCTTCACCCCTTATTTCTTAAGACAGGGTCTATCTAAGTTACTTGTGGCCTAGCTAAGTTACTGAGCTGGCTTTGAACTTATGGTCCTCCTGCCTCAGCCTCCTGAGCCATTGGGATTACAGGCATGCACTACCAAAGCCTTTTTCTTTTTATATACCCTGATAAAATAGACATAAACTTGACTCAGTTACCTCTTCAACCATTTTTGTTTATAAAGCTACTTAGGAGAATGAATCAATATACACATAAATTAATCCATGAATATATCAGAAGTAGAGATGTTTTAGGAGAAAACTGAATTTTAAAATTTGAATTATCCAAGGAAGTTGTATTTTTGTCAGGGTGGGCTTCCCAAAAATCAGACTTAAGATGGAGATTAACATGCAGAATATTTAATAGGGAATGTGTTAGGATCAAATTTATAAAGGGAGGGAAAGAAAGCAGGATGCATGCAGAGGGACGTTGAGTTGCAGTGCAGTTCCAGTAGAGGATCAGCCAGTATCCCACAGGACCACATGGGTTCTTAGGCCAGATATTTAATAGCCATTATCTGTGACTGCAGGATTACATGTCCCCCCCACCTTTTTTTTTTTAACTTTGTCTTAGTACATGGCTATTTTGTCATAAAAGACACATAAACCTATTACTTTTGTACTTAGAAAAAGAAGGCATTCTGTTGGGGGCTGGAGGGACTACAAGTAATTTTATAGAATAGGATGTTTTTTAGTTACCTGGTACTTTGAATTCCAAAGGATATATCTTTTGGTTTTAAAGTTTCAGTACTATTAATGGGTATTGTATTTGCTTTTCAGCTTGGGCAATGGTAGATGGTGGCTCAAATGTGAAAGCCCGCTCTTCTTACAGTGAAAAGACCCCTAAGATCATCGTGTCTCGCTCCCATTCAGGGATGGTAAAACAGGTTGCTCTTCAGACATTTGGAAACCAGACTGCAATCATCCCAGCTGGTGGTGCTGGTATGTTCCCCCTCCTGTGATTCCCAAGAGTGCTCCTAGATTGGGCAATTCTATGTCCTATACTGGGAAAGAAAATGAGAAGAAACAGTATACTTTCAGGGTAGGCTCAGTTTCCTACTTGGTAATCTCTAGGGTAGACTTTAGTGACGTTCGTCTTGTCTAGAAGAGATAGTCCCATAATAGCTTCTCTTCCTCAAATACTACATGAGCATCTTCCCACCAGTGATGTGCCATCAGTGGTTGCTTTTTGTATGATCTGACTTCAAAATAATTATTCTGTTGATTAATCAGGAAAGGAGAAAATATCAAGGTCTTCAGATGCTTCATCCTAAGTATTGTTAGAAACATCAATCCCAGAGTCAATTTTTTGGTTTAATATTTATTTTTTTAGGTGTAGATGGACACAACACAATGCCTTTTTATTTTTATGTGGTGCTGAGTATCGAACCCAGGTCCCGCCCGTGCTAGGCGAGCGCTTTACCGCTGAGCCACAATCCCTGCCCCCTGAGTCAATTTTAACAGCCCTAAACTTTTCAACTTGCTTGTTTGGGATGAGAGATAGAGTCTAGCGCCATCCAGCTTGCAGTGTATTCCATACTGTTATGTGAGTATAGAGCAGAGGTCAGCCTACGTTTTCTGAAAAGGGCCACATAGTAACATTTCAAAACTTAGGAGCTACGTGTGTATGTCTGTCTTATACTATCCTTTGACTTTTTTTAAAGCCAACTTTAAAAATATTTTTTGAAAATTATTTTGAGATGTGTACAAAACCAGACCACAATCTGGATTTGGCTCAAGGGACTATTTGATGACTTTCGTTATGAGTACTACTTAACATATCAGAAATATTTTAATTCGGGTAAATAGCAAATTGTTGTCAGAAAATATTTGTGTTGGAATACCTTTTCAGCAAATTAATAAAGAGAGAAATGATTCTTTTTAACTCTTAAGCCTAATGGTTTTAATTTGTCAAATGCATGTAACTGATTTCTTTAATATTTACGTTCAGCCTCTCTTTTAGGCTGATTAGGAAATGTAATGTCCAAAATATACCTAGTAAGAATGAGATAAACTAGATTCTAGATGTGGTTTTTTCTGCATTTGTTTTATTTATTTTTTCTTCTTTAAATTTGGCCTCATTAAACAAAGGATTTAGGGTAGAAATGTTACTTTTTGTTCCCTGAAATCAGGTCTACCTTGGTGTTTAACTGAAATGTATAAGTGTTTAGCTATAGTATAATATGTCATTCCATAGAAAATGGAATACTGAATGTGTCATTCCATAGAAAACAAGCATAAAGATTTAAAATTTAAAAGTATAGGCATGTTTTTGGTTATACATGAGACTAGCTTAGTAAGTTATTTTGTAGTATTTTGTTCCTCTGTGGAGTTTAATGTTTGTACTCTTACTTGGGAAAAAATTTTTTATTTGGAAATAATTTTAGACTTGAGCAGTTGAAAACACAGTATAGTCATGTTCTGTATACCCTGTTCTATTCTTTTCAACAGTGCACTTAATCAAAAATATACACTACTTTCTTAAAATCTTTTAAACAATAACTTAAATTCTGTGTTTATCTTTTAGGTTACAAAGTTTTAGCACTCTTGGATGTGCCTGATAAGACTCAAGAAAAAGCTGATCTATATATCCATGTGACATACATCAAAAAGTGGGATATATGTGCTGGCAATGCCATCTTAAAAGCCCTTGGAGGGCATATGACCACTCTGAGTGGTGAAGAAATCAGTTACACTGGGTCAGATGGAATTGAAGGGGGACTCCTTGCTAGTATCAAAATGAACCACCAGGCTCTGGTTAGAAAACTCCCAGATCTTGAAAAGACAGGACATAAGTAAGCGTCACTGATTACAGAGTGCAACTGCTCTTCCAGAGCTGACATGGTTATGCCTGAAATGCTGGAAGCTTCAAAGGACTGGTGGAGACTATGCATGGTTAAGGCCATCTTGAACCTTTTTAAGTATTTATGAAGCATCAAGGACTTATTTTCCCTGTAATAGGATGCAGAATCAGGGAAAATGGGTTGCTTCGTGTCTCAAGTATTGTCTTTATTTTTGAGACTATTTTCGTACAGTTGTCATACACAAGGCGCATATATATATTTGTGAATTAAAATCTATAGCTGAGTCTACATTGTTATAAGTCAACCATTTTCACACAACATCATGAATCTTCACTATTTGTTAATACTTTCACACAGAATTGGGTTGAAGGAAGGATTGATTTTTGTGTAAGTGTTTAATATAACTTTACAATTATTATCTTATTGAAAAATATAATAACTGGGAATTTTTACTCCTGATTTGGATGGAAAGCACAAAAGCTACACATTCATTAATACGCAACAAATACAAATGCTCTGTTCATCTGTTACTGAATATTTCTATGATGAAAATAGAAAAAGCTTAAAATGATTTTTTTCTTTGAAATTTTAATAACAGGTTCACCAGCTAGTAGAAAATATAGATATATGATGGTTTGCATTCTAATTGTAATTTTCTGTGTGTGTGGTTTGTTTTGTTTTTTATAAAGAAAAGTGTGTATGTGTACACCCATGGGTTCAACATTTCTACCATCTTGCTGTTGATTTTCATTTTCCCTATGAAAGATGCATGATTCCATCCTTTTCCTCCCGACTGGTATTTAGTCTTTAACTTGTAAGGTTTGGCTTGGGGTTTTAGGGTTAGCATTATTATTTTGATACATTATCTCATTAGGGATAAAATAATGCTGTAAGACACTAAGAATATAAATGATTCTGTTATAATGGAAAGTTATTTGGTATTACATGGATTAAATTAGTTTTTGTTATTTTCAGGAACTTTGTTTTAGTGAGTTTTAAAAATTTTGCCAGGTTTATATAAAGGGATTCATTGTCAGGAATGAGTACAGTTGATTTTGCCATGGTTGCTTTTTCTATTAATAAATTACTACCTAACCTAACCAAATTCTCATACTAGTAACTTTTGAGATACTCTATATTCCCTTCAAATTGCAGTAATGAAAGTTAAAGTTACCTTTTGATGAAATTTTTCTTCTATTCAGGCAGCAGAATATGGTTGGGGAAAAAAGTTGTGACATTTATTTTGTTGCCAAAATACAGCCTTTATGAGCAATCTTTCATTGGGATGTGTGGTTTCTCTCAGCGTGATATCCAGACAATTTATGTAAAGAATCACAATTATTTCATGTGGCTTCAATGCCTTTATATTCCATAGCAATGATAAGGAGAGGGATTTTTCATGCTTGCTTTTCTTCTTCTTCTTCTTCTTCTTTCTTCTTTTTTCTTTCTTCTTCTTCTTCATTTAATCTTAGTCCTATCTTGGAGGTAAATTGAACCACAGAATGTACATTCTAAACTGGTAGAATGTTCATACTTTAGGTTTGCATAGTACACTGTACAGAGCCCTTTGATTCCTTTTAAGTGAACTGAATCTAGTGTGTGATGTTTCCATTCAGTATCTATTAGTCACAAATCCATTAAGTAGGCTTTTTGTTCAATGAAAATTCAAAGTTGTAGTGGTCGGAACACTTGAATTTAAATAGGACTTCAGAATTTGCAAAGGAATATCAGAAACCTCATCTGTTTACTTCATGTAAGATAAGGAAATTCTTTGTTCTCCAGAGAGATGGCAAAGGCATATGCCATTACCAGAATCCTGTGGTATAAGCATTTCTTTAATATGTCAGGGAAATGACTGGCAAATAGGAAATTGAATTTAATTGGTGGTTTTTAAAAATATTATGTGGAAACTTCATAACTTAATGAAAACTAGTTCACATTAGCAAGCATGATTGCTTTAGTTTTATTTTTAATTCCATTAATCTACATAGCTAGGATGTGAAGGATGTGTGTTGTGTGCAAAATTAAGGTATTGGCTGAGAGTTAAATACATTATTTTTATAATTTGTTGGATATAGTCTAGTTACTAAGGATTTTTAAGTACTTTTATAGAAAATTCATTTTTTAAATTTTATTTCTAAGAGCCAATATACATTACAAGCAACAGTATTTATATTTATTTATATGAGGCATTATTATGCCCAGACATACTAATAAATTACTTTCATGAGTGAGGCATACAATATCATTTCTAAAACATAGCAAAACAAGTAGTTTCCTTTTAGTGACTCCTACCTTCCCAACTCTGGGTCTTCTCTTTCCTTCATCTTTGCCCTTACATTGAGGATAGTTTTCCCTTAAGGCTGAGTGTTATACATCATGTCAGTAGAAGTGGTGATGTTAGTATTCATTGGCTGGCCCTCTCCTCTGCCCCTCTTCATCTCTACCTTATTACCTGTTTGCCTTGCCCATTAATGTTCTCATGTCTGCTTCTCTTCCTTAGCCAGGATACATACTCCCATGCTCATTTTCCAAATTTTCTTTTATGTACCCCTTTCTCTCCAGATTGGCTGCTAAAATCTTTGGTAAAACTGAGGCTCTGGTCAAGTTCCCAGTGAGGGAGATAATCCTGGCCTAGGTAACCATTACTTTTCAAACTGCACAAAAAGTGTAATTGAAAATCACTTTCAAAGCTACAAACTTTCATGCTGTCAAATCTAATCGAATACAAAAGTCTTTACAAAACATTTCTTCCAACCCATCTCTCAGGAATGTCAACAAAAAATATGAGAAAATGGGATAGATAAAAGCCTTCTTAAGGAAACCTGCTTTTTCTGTTGGTTACCATACTTGTATTCCCCATTTCAGTTGAGTTTACAAGGGCCTACAAGATGGTCATGTTTGTCTTTAGTATATAATTTTCTGTTCCCCCAATTTTAGTGTTTGTTTCTAATTTTAAATCAGTTATATGCAAGTGAATTATTTATGGTGTCTAATGAAGTAACAGCAACATTTTGGTTTTCTGTGTTTTAAGTAACAGTTGTGCAAATTGTTTCTGTTTGCTGGGTGCTCCCTTTGGGTATTTTGCAAATTGTGTCAGAGGAGGTGGAACAGGAACAATAGCTGAAAATAGGGTAGGATGGAAAATGAGGGGAAGGGCAGCTGAAGGAGATGCAGAGCAAAAATCTGCCCTGAATGCTACAGTCAGCAGCTCTGCTCAAGTCTCTTATGTTAATTTCAAAAACAGGGTTTCACTCAGACTGTGAAGGTTACAACTATATCTGATAGTCCAAGTGTAAGTAAAGAAAAGTGGGGTACACTACAGAAAATAATCAGCTTTTCCTCTCTTGAGTAACACCTTTGAAGATGGACTCCCTGAGACAATGTGATAGGTCAAAACAGGAACTGTTTTGGATTCTTCTAGATGCAACTGCCTATTGTGATTATGTATTGATTGTTCCTAGATAGAAATGTGACTTAATTTTAGATCTTGGTTGAATTTAAACTGTATTTATATACTTTACAGAAGTGTGTCTTATATAACTGTTGTGTAAAATAAACCTCATCTGTGATTTCAGTTCTGTTCTAAAAAAGTTGTGCCTTAATAATAGGGCATTGTATGTTAATAAGGGAAAACAAAATCTTTTTTTTAGTAGATGGGAAAAATAGGAATTTTTTGCCATTAAAATTTAAGTTCTTTTAATGTTTTTAATATTAGAGTTGGGGGAAATTCATTGAAATTAAATAAAATTGATATAAAATTATTTTTACATAATCTAGCATTTACAACTAAATACATTTTATAAGAACTGGCATCTTGATGTATATAGGTCTGAAATGATATTTCATCTTTTGATTTTTAATTTAATAAAGACCAGGGTAGATCACATTTTTACAGATTTACTTTTAAATAAACCATTTCCATGTGCTAATACATCTGTTCTCCTAGTTCTCTAGAGTCATTTTGGTTAAGAAATAGTTATATATTCATGGTAGCTTCTCCATCATTCATTAATATCAATTAATATTTTATGTTTTATAGCATAATAAATACTTCCTAAGGGGGACAGGTTTCTAATTCTGATCAGCCATTATTGAGAGAGCAAGAAGAATCAAACTCTATACTTAAGAAGTAGATTTTGGTTTTATGAGATGCTGGTTATGTAAATTGTGTATTTTTATCTCATCAAAGCCCGGCAGGTATATGCTTTTGAATTTACCATTGGCAAAGCATTTCTTTATTTTGGAAGTTGAGTAGTGAATTCGTTTTGTTGAAAAATATTTTCCTTTCAGTTAAACAGACCAAACTTGTAGATGTTAAGGATCATGAATATACTAACACAATGTTATATATTTTGTTTGTGAGAGTTCCCTAAAGTATTATAATTAATGTAATTTGTGTATATTGCAAAAGGAGAAACTAGTGTTTGATTAATATGTTCCATTAAAATTCTTTTTGCAGAGCAATATACATAATGAATTTTTATTCAGAATTTTTTTTAAATAGGAAAGCATAAGTCATCATGAGATAAGTTAACCCATGAAAAGATTTTATCTTCCCAAATTATCTTTGTCACCAAGTAGTGTTAAGGAGGGAACATTTATGGACTTAATTTTTGTATATCCTTACTGTCCTTTCCTGGCGTAGCCAAAGCCCATTCTTTTATTCTCATGAAAGAATCCCTGTTCTTCAGGGGTTCCGCTTCTTCAGGATGAATAACAGTGCTGTCTGGGCTTGCTTCTTTCTTTTGACATTAACTTGAGCAACTACAGGTACATACCCAGGGTTTGGATTTACACTGAAGTTATGACTTTTTCCTGTATCCCCACCTTTCCAAACTGATTTCTTGTCATCCTCACTTCTGTTACTCTGTTTCTTAAAAATGGCTCAACAATGATGAAAAAAATTAAAATGAAAATACTTTACCTTTGTAAACTCCTTCCTCTTTCACACATTTAAAGCCATGGCAAAGCTATACCTTTTCCCGTTGTGTAGACATGCTGGGCCAACAATTTTCTTAGCGTTCTCGACTGCCTCACACCACCAAATTTAAGTGGGTTTCAGCTTCAACCTTTACAGGAAATAAAACTGTCCTCCCTCCATGGCTTTACCGCAGTTTTTTTTGTACCTCGCCTATAGCAACTTAACAGTAAACTTAGGGATTGCGTTGTGGTTTTACTTCCAACTCCCAGATAGCCCAGTAGCTTGCACAATTAATAGGTGCTTAGTGTGTTTTGAACCAAATTAACTAAAGGGTTACCGCTAGCATTAGCATGCTTCATGCCTCAGTTGTATAAGCTGGTTAATGGTTTGTTTTCTTTACAAATACTATGATTATCACTACAAATTATTTTTTAAAGTTTTGCATTTTCTCCAGATACTATCCCATGGTCAATTAACTGTAGAAAACTTGATTGCTTCCAATGACATAATTATCCCAAACTCTGTCCCTGGATATACTTTACCAAATGAAATTTGAATTCTCTGAATAAATTGGTCATGTCTGAAAGAATTGGTGTGCTGCATCTGCTTGCTTACTTATTTTTTTTTTTTTTTTACTTTTTTGTATGAAAACGTAATAATGTTCCATTTTAACCGCTTTCAGGTGTGCAATTGAGTGGCATTAAGTACATTCACGATATTGTGGGATCCTTTACCACTACCCTGGTTACTGGTCATCTTTTTGGAAAGTACGTTTTTGATTCCATGGACTGTTACAGATCACCTCCATGATTTTCTTTTGGTGATTCTGTTGCTGTTCTTTACATATGTCCTGATGTAGGGGAGAAATGATTTTCTGTTCCTTAAAGCCAACATAAGTTAACAGCATCATTTGCTGCTCTGCTCTTAACAAAATAAAAGAATATAGTCTCTTGCATTGGAGCAGTTTTGTCATGGATTATGTAAAAGCATGTGGCACCTACAAGAGTCCAGGTCAAGAAAGACAAGACAGTAAAAGGAACATAGAAGAGCACAGTGGATAATAAATAATTTGAGAAGAGTGTGAAGTGTGCAAATAGGTAAGGAGTCAGGTTATGTGCATCAGGATGGCCAACAATAGTACAATTTTTTTACATTCCTATTTTAACTCTACTTGAATGCCATGAAGTGGGAGGTAAATAATCCCATTTTAGAGATTTTACATAGGTGAACAACTGACTTCCCAAATTGCCAAGTGACAAACCCTACCTGCCTTGAGTCACTCTGGTTGATAAATTCTTCCTGGAAACTGCCTTTCCCCTTCTATTTCAGTGAGTTCATTTTCTTCTGTTTTGTCACCTTCCCCTCCCTTTGAAGCTACTTCTTTGTTTTATTTTGTTTTGCTGTACTCCGCTATCTATCCAGTCAGTGTTTGTATTTTCAAGAATTCCATTCTGAACACACTCTTCAGCGTGATTTCCCAGGGCAATTTTCAACTATCACATATGTGTCAATGACCCTAAGTTTATATCTCCCAGCTTTAAATTTCTCCTATACCTTAAACCCATATTTTAAAATATGTATCTTAGGGTGACTATCCTGCATTCTTCCCAAATTCATCATGTTCAAATCTAAGTAATTATATTTTACTACCCAACCTCTGGTAATCTCCTTAGCTACAGAAATCCGTATCCAAAGTAGTATCCCAGACTAAAAAACTCGGAGATATTTTTATCAACTTTCATCAGCTGCCTCCCTGTTTTCACCATGCTTCTAAGAATTTAATTACACCTACCAAATGTCTCTTGAATGGGTCTCTTTCCATTTCACTGAACAATTTTAGGATCATTTAATAAGAAATTTTAAAATTTATTTTGGAAGCAAGAGTGGAAACAGTTTTTGTTTTAATTAAGTTTTCTTCCTATTTACAAACAATGCATGCTCAAAAAGAAAATGAGTAAAATACAAATAACATGAACAGGAAAAAATTTAAAACCATCCTACTTCTACCTCTCAAAAATAACCATGATTCACATTTTTTATGTGTGTTTCTTCTGTATGCTCCTATGGAAATAAAGATTTTGTGTGCATATTTTTGCAATAGAAATATGCATACTTTTACTTAGTTTTTTTCCAATTGACAAAATATTTTTTCCTTATTCTCATGTCCATCGATTTTATAACATAAATTCCAACATAGTTGCCATATTCAACTTCACAGATGCACATGATTTACTTTTATCATCCTGTTGTATATTTAGTTTATTTTCCATTGTAATTATTACAAATGACATAATAATGATCACCCATGTAATTATTTTCTTAAACTATTTTTATAACAAATAATGCATATCTGTAAAGTAAGCAATGCATGCATTCTTATTTAATCAGTAATATATGCCCATCACAAATTATAGATCAGTCAAAATTGCAGAATGCCACACATTCAGATATCACAGAGTTAGACACAAGTGTGGGGAGTCTACAGAACACCCTCATGTTTAATTGTTCACCAGAAGGATTCATAGAACTCAGCAATAACTCCTGGTTTTTGTTTATTTCAGCAAAAGGATTTGGAGTAAGATCAACAAAGGGAAAAGATTCATAGGGTGGAGTCCAAGAGTTCAGGCACAAGCTTCCAATTACTTTCTCCTAGTGGAGGCATGGAGGTACCACTTCTCCCATCAACCCTGTATGCCAACATTCATGGAGTACTGCCAACCAGGGAAGTGCACCCAAACCTTGATGTCCAATTTTTTTACTGGTGTCGTATAAGGTTGACTGATCATTTACATAGCTGACCTTAGTCTCCAGCCCTTCCACAGGTCAAGTTGATATCATGAGACCAAGAGTCCTCACCATAATTCACATTGTGAATCAAATATTCAGTGTGACCCAAGGTAAATAAGGATACTCTATCAGGACATTCTAAGGGTTGGAGGTTACCTCCCAGAGTTGGTCAAGAGCCAATCCTTCCTGGTCAAGGTTAATTCTTTATTGTACACTAGTGTATGCTCTTCTAATTTAACTCTTTGCATATGTACGCTCATGTTTCCTATCATAATATATCTTATTCTATTAATTTAGCCTATTCTGTGATAAGTGAGTATACAAATAAATATCATAATTATTGAACAGTATTCTATCATAAATAAGGGAATTTCTAAGTTTTATTTTGGCTATTATGCATACCAGTAGTGATTATTCTAGATAAGCTGTGTATGTCCATTATTAAAGACATAAGGTTTACTACATTTTTCAACATTTTTTGTGTATTTCTGTATATATGTATATCATATATATACATATATTTTTAAAACCCTTACAAATATATATATATGTATATATACATACATATATATATGTATGTATATATATATATATATAATATTTTAAACCATTACAAATACCACAGAATGTTGTACATTTATGCTTTTACCACGAATGAAAGTGTGTGCACACTTATACTTATTTTCACAAAAAATACTTTTTAAAAGAACTATTTCTTGGATGAAATATAACTTCATTTCAGTATTTACATGATAAATAAGTTTAGCATTTATTATATGCTTTTCATTTGTGTTTTGTTTATGAACTATGTTTGTTCCTCATGTATTATATTACTGTTCTGGATATATTCATGACAAACTTTTTTGTCAGATGTGTCATTTATATTAGCTCATTTATATTTTGTTCCTTCCTACTGGTTTCTGACTCACATTTTTCTGATAGAAAGTCAGCAATAATGAAGCAATTTAGCTCCAATCACCTGTATGTAACATACCTGGTTACTCTATGTTCTGTTTATCATGAAATTTCATCAAGTTAATTATGAAATCCGTTATGGTTTGGATATTAGGTAGCTCCTGTGTTAATGCTTGAATACTCAGAGGTAAAATGATTAGATTATGAAAGCCATAAGCTAATTTGATGGAGGAAGTTAGGTCACTGGGTCATCCCTTGGGGATTAGATCTTGTCACCCTAGCTCCTCCCTTTTTCTTTTTCTGTTTTCTGGCCACCATGAGATGTGCAACTTTTTCATCTTGGGCCCAGAGCAATGGGATCTGCAAACCATGAACTGAACCTCTGAAACTGTGACCCCAAACAATCTTTTGCTTCTCTAAATTGTTCTTGTCAGGTATTTTGGTCACAGCAACAAAAAGCTGACTAACACAGAAATTGCTACCAATAAGTGAGGTCTTTTCTGTGATTAACCTAGTCGTGTGGTTTAGAAGCCTTTGAACTGGTTTGAGAAGAGTTTGAAAAAGTTTGTAGATGCAGACTGAAGAAATCTCACAAGGTTGTAAGCAGAACTTAATGGGCCATTCTGGGTGGAGCTTAGAAGAGCAGAGTGCTGATAAGAATCCAGACAGTAAAATCTGTTCTATTGAGGTTTAAGAGGGGAGTGAGAATACGACTAGGAATTGAACTAGACGCCATTCTGTTACATTTTAGCAAAGCACTTGTCTACATTTTTCTTGTCCATGTCCTGAAATGTTGTGTGAGGCCAAATTAAAGGTTACAGACTAATGAATCTGGTGGAGGAAATTTCAAGGAAGAACAACATTGAGGAGGTGACATGGATATAGCTGGCAGTTTTTAACCAGGTTTACTTTGAGAATCAGGAGCAAAAGGGATTTTTAAAACTTTCAATTTGGCCAGAAAAGTGCACCTTAAAACTGGAGTCAACGAAGTTCTGGTTGGTGAAGAGATCACAGCTACTAGAGATATACTAGGTGCCTTGAGCACATTTGAAGAATTTGCAAAATCCCACCCACCACAGGCTCAAGGGTGTAAAAGAAAAATTCCCTTGAAAAGAGACCAGTGGGACCCAGGAAGTTGTTTCACCATCTGAGTCACCCAGACACTCAGAGGCTGCTGCAGCTATGGTTCCAGAAGGCTGGCTACTACTCAAGATGGTGGCAGGTCTTGGCATTGTTCACATGGTGCTGGTTCTGCAGAAATGCAGGATGTTGGAGTTAGAAGTTCATGAAGGCTTTCGCTGAGATCTCAAGGGATGACCTGGGAGCAGTCCAAGGTAGCAGCACTGAAATTTCTGAAGGCTTCCCCTTAGAGGACAATACCTGAAGCTGTAAAGGTGAAGCCAAAGTTGAAATGGAGACCCCCAGAATTAAGAGACTCCAGTAACATGGACTTGTCTTCTGAGGAAAACAACGGCCTGTGGAGAAAGCCAAGTTAAGAGAAGACATAAGCTCTTTAAAGAGCAAAGCCAAAGAAATGGGGCTCCCCAAGTCCTTCAGAGCTCGCATCTCACCGATGTGTGCCCAGATGCTGTTTGTGGGGTTACAGGACCTAATGTGTTTCCATCTGGATTTCAGTCTGGCTTTGGTCCCATCCTATCTTTCTTTGTCCCTACTCCTCCCTTTTTGAATTGAAATATATAAACCTTGCCATTTTATATTGGAGATATATATATATATATATATATATATATATATATATATATATATATATATATAGTATTCCATTTTCACAGGAGCTCACAACCCAGAGTGGATGTCTCTGGGTTGAGTCTCAAAGGAGACTTTGGACTTGGTCTTTTGGGCAATGCTGTAACTATTAAGATTATA